CTCCCGGGGCTTTGCTTATGGGATAGATCCACCCCTTTGCCCCCACCCAAGCTTGGGCAGAACGCCACCTAGTGCCTGCCCTGGGAGTCAGGGGGTCACCTCATACAGCAGGTAGTCCTTGCGCAGCCGGTAGTCATCCAGGCCCCTGCTCCGGCTCCGCGGCTCGGGCAGACTCCGTTGCAGCTCGCCAAGCTCAGCCACAGCCTGGGCCAGCCATGCCTCGTGGGCCCGCAGCTGCTCCTCCTGGCGGGGAGCAGGAAAGGAGGGCGGTTGTGTGTTGGGGGAACAGGTCCCCAGGCCTACCCATGTGTGCACCAGGCCCCGACCACTGTAGACCAAGCCACAGCCACATCTGTTCTAAGCCCCGCCCACTGCAGCCCAGGCCCTGCCCACTACAGCCAAAGCCTTTCCCACACCTGCCCCAAGAAAGGTTGGCTACAGCTGAGCCTCCACCCACTGCAGCCCAGGCCATGCTCGCACCCAAACCAGGCTCCTCCCTTGCCAGCCAAAGCCTTGCCCACCCCTGCCCAGGCCCTGCCCCCTTCCAGCCTCAGGCCCTTCCCACTGCCATGCAGACCCTGCCCACTGCCAGTAGGCAATTCCCAGGTCTTGGAGGGGTGAGTCTCACCAGCGAGCCACGGCTGGGGGCCGTGGGCAGCACGGGCCGCACAAACTTGCGCTGGGAGCCCACGGCCGCTGGGAAGGGGGGAGCTGAGAGCGCTGCTGCCACCAGGTTGATGCGGGCGACCCACGAGTTCATTTCTTCGGCGCTCCTGGTGGGGTGAGTGGAGGGTGGGGGTCAGGGGGCTGTGGGTCAGGAGTGAGGGGCACCAGGCGGTTGGGCAGGGGGGCTCCATGTCAGGAGTGAGGGGCACTGGAGGTACTTACGGGGCCTGGAAGAGGACGATGCGCCAGTCGGCCGTCTGTAGGCGGAAGACATGTGGGCGCTTGCTGTACTGGCTCTCGTGCTCAGCTAAGGCGTGATGCACCCCCAGCGGCTCCTCAGCCCCCTGCCCCTCCGTCTCATTCTCGGCCTGCAGGCAGTGGGCTTGGGCTCAGGCTCTGCCCCCACAGCCCCAGGCCCCGCCCCTGTCCCCCAAGCCCTGCCCTCATCCCAACCCCCAGCCCCAAGGCTCCGCCCACATGCCCACATACTTACAGCCCTGCCCCCAGGCCTGTAGTCCTTCCCCCACTGCAAGACCCACCCCCCCAGATGTAAGGCCCTGCCTCCATGCCA